TAATATTATTTTCATAAGCAGAATGTTTACATTATCAAATAAATATCTATGTAATGTTTATGCTATCAAATAAATACCTATGCAATAAAATAAAAGTCTTAATCAATTTATGTGTTTTAGGTGCAATATGAGTTATGACTTTCATATTTTTTTATTTCCTATATTTTATTATTTAATTATTTTCTTTGCTTTGGCGCATGTCACTCTTTCAATGAAGAATATGGAATTCTCCGATTGGACCTTTTGTTGATGACAAAATTTTTGCCTCATCGACAGTGCAACAACGCATACTATACTTAAGGATTTAAAATACTTCTCCTACTTAAAGAAGCAAGCAACAAATATCAATACAATTTGTGGCAGTGCAAATCTAATTGAAGGCTCCGGAAGAGCTCATATCATATTGCCTAGAGGAACAAAATTTGTAATTGGTGATGCCTTATATTTTGAAAAGTCTCAACAGAATTTATTGAGTTTTAAGGATATTCGCAAGAACGGATATCATATTGATATAACAAATAAAGGCAATGTCGAATATTTGTATATTACGACTATTGTTTCAGGTAAGAAAAGTGTACTAGAAAAATTGCTTACATTTTCTTCTGGTTTATACTACACCAATATTGGCAAAATTGAGGCACATGCTATAGTAAACCAGAAGTTAACTAATCACAATGAGTTTATACTTTGGCATAGCTGGTTAGGTCATTCTGCTTCAATTATAATGCAAAGGATTATAGAGAATTCATGTGGATATTCATTGAAAAATCAGAAAATATTACAAACAAGTGAATTTTCATGTGCTGCTTGCTCTTAAGGCAAATTAATTACTAGACCGTCATCGGCTAAGATTGGAACAAAATCCCTTGGATTTTTGGAATGGATACATGGTGATATTTGTGGACCTATACATCCATCAAGTGGACTATTTAGATATTTTATGGTTTTAATTGATGCTTCAACTAGATGGTCACATGTATGCTTATTATCAACTCACAATTTGGCGTTTGCGAGATTACTAGCTCAAGTAATTCGACTACGAGCTCACTTTCCAGATAATCCGATTAAAACTATACGACTTGATAATGCTGGTGAATTCACTTCTCAAGCGTTCAATGATTATTGTACTGCTATTGGAATAACCATTGAATATCCTGTAGCATATGTTCATACTCAGAATAGCCTTGCAGAATCATTTATAAAATGAATTCAATTAGTTGTTAGACCATTACTTATGAGAGCAAAACTTCCTATATCTGCATGGGGACATGCTATCTTACATGCAGCAACACTGACCATTACTTATGAGAGCAAAACTTCCTATATCTGCATGGGGACATGCTATCTTACATGCAGCAACACTTATTCGCATCAGGCCAACTTCCTATATCTGCATGGGGACATGCTATCTTACATGCAGCAACACTTATTCGCATCAGGCCAACAAGTTATCGTGAATTCTCCCCATTACGATTCGTTTATGGTCAGGAACCAAATATTTCACATCTAAGAATTTTTGGATGTGCGGTTTATGTTCCAATTGCTCCACTACAACGCACGAAGATGGGACCTCAAAGGAGGTTAGGAATATATATTGGGTATGAATCTGCATCTATAATTAAATATCTTGAACCGTCTACAGGAGATTTATTTACGAGACGTTTTGTCGATTGTCATTTTGATGAGACACTTTTCCCAACATTAGGGGAGAAACTAAGCAATTGGTAAAAGAAATTATCTAGAATGAATTATCATTGTCCTACCATGATCCTCACACGAAACAATGTGAACAAGAAGTTCAAAAGATAGTTCATTTACAAAAACTAACAAATCAACTGCCAGACGCGTTTAGTGACCCAAAAAGAGTGACTAAGTCACATATACCAACTGCAAATGCTCCTGTCAGAATTGCTATTCATGAAGGATAACCTATCACCGCTAATGAGACAAAGGGATAAATAAAGCATGATAGACCAGTCGGTTCTAAAAATAAAAATCCTCGTAAAAGAAAAAGAGCAAAGCATACAAATGACCAAGTTGAGGAAAATGTTGCTCAAGAAAAATTCTCCAGTGAGACTCTAGATGAGTTAGTTCCAAAAGTGAATCAGGTACCTGGAATTAAATAAAATGAAGAGATCTCTATCAATTATATTATAAATGGGGAACGATGGAACCGAAATGAAATAATCGTCGACGATATTTTTGCATATCATATTGCGCAAAATATTATAAATGAAAATGAGGATCTTGAACCAATGTTTATGGAGGAGTGTAAACATCGAGAAGATTGGCCAAAATGAAAAGATGCTATAGATTGTGAATTAAAATCACTAGCAAAGCGTAAAGTTTTTGGACCTGTTGTTCAGACACCCGCTGGTATAAAACCTGTAGGATATAAATGGGTTTTCGTGCGAAAACGGAATGAGAATAATAAAGTTGTTAGATATAAAGCACAATTAGTTGCCCAAGGATTCTCACAAAGACCCGGTATTGATTATGAAGAGACGTATTCTCCTGTGGATGCAACAACTTTTTGATATTTAATTAATTTGACAGTTTGCGGAAAACTTTAAATGCGTCTCATGGATGTAATCATAGCCTATCTGTATGGCTCACTTGATAATGATATTTATATGAAAATTCCGGAAGGATTACAGTTTCCTGAAAAGTATAACTCTAATCCGAGAGAGTTTTATTCGATAAAACAGCAGAGGTCTCTCTATGGTTTAAAGCAAGTATGATGTATGTGGTACAACCGCTTAACTGAGTACTTGTTGAAACAAGGTTATAATAATGATCCTATTTGCCCTTGTGTTTTTATAAAGAGATTTAAATCACAATTTGTGATTATTATAGTGTATGTTGATGATTTAAACATCATTGGAACTCTTGAAGAGCTTCAAAAGGCTGCAAAATTGCCTAAATCTGGAATTTGAAATGAAAGATCTTGGCAGAACAAAATTTTGCCTCGACTTGCAATTTGAACATCTTAAGAATGAGATTTTTATACACCAATTTGCTTATATATCAAAGATAATTAAAAGATTTTATATGGATAAGACACACCCACTAAGTACTCCAGTGGTCGTGCGATCACTTAAAATTAATAAAGATATCTTTTGACCTAAGGAAAATGATGAAGAACTGCTTGGTCCTGAAGTACCATATCTTAGCGCAATTGGTGCACTGATGTATTTTGCTAGTCACACTCAACCTGATATATCATTTGTCATGAATTTATTAGCAAGATATAGTTCGTCACCTACAAGAAGTCATTGGACAGGGGTTAAACATATATTTGGATATCTTAGAGGTACAATGGAGATGTGTTTATACTATTCTTATTTGTCCAAATCGGAGTTGGTAGGATATGCAGATGTCAGTTATTTGTCTGATCCTCATAATGGACGATCACAAATGGGTTATGTCTTCATATATGGTGGTACTGCTATATCTTGGCGTTCTACCAAGCAAACAATTACGGCTACATCATATCTTTGTAGTGCGGTGGCACAACGGAATCCAAAAAGTTGTTGAGAGAGAAGGCACACACAGAATCAAATTAAAAATAACAGTACAAACTCAAAACATGAGATTTACGTGGTTTGGCAAGTTGCCTACGTCCACGGGGCAAGAAGGGAAGGAGTTTTCACTATTAGAGAGAGAGAGAACACAAAATAGAGATTACAAATCACTCACAAACCCTCGAATTAATCTCTCAAACAAAGCTCTCAACTCTCACCAATTTGCTCTCACAAGAAAGCTCAAAATCACCCATTATCCCTCTTAATTCAAAACAAATTCTGATCAATATAAAACCCTAAAATCGTGTTTCAATATATATCAAAAAACATACCCAAACAAAACAAGAAACCAAGCCCAGGTCTAAACCCGACTTGCGGTCGACAGGCAACAAAGTCGTGGTCAACCGTGGCAAACGACAGAAACCAAAAATCGATTACAGGGTTTGGCGGTCGGTCATGGCGGTCGACCGGCCAAAGTGCAGAAACACACCCAGTACTCGTGCACGTTTCTGGTTGACCGCCAAAGTCATCGCGGTCGACCATACGGCCTCCAAACTATTCCCTTCATCAATTTGCCTGAACTTCGTCGTCGTCGTTCTCGTTTCTACAATAATCATGCATAAATTTTGGCAATTCATGAAGCAAACCGAGAGTGTGTCCGACTTAGATCAATAATCCAACACATTTCGAAGACATGTGGGTTGTCCTCTCAAATCAAAATTTCCACCAAACAGGAGGTACCAACAATTTTGTATGAGGATAATACAACATGTATAGCTCAATTGAAGACGAGATATATCAAAGGTGATAGAACAAAACACATATCTCCAAAGTTCTTCTTTACTCATGATCTTCAAGAGAATGATGCTATTGATATTCAACAAGTTTGATCTAGTGATAATCTCGCCGATTTATTCACAAAGGCACTACCTATAAAGAAATTCGAGGAACTAGTCTACAAAATTGGACTACGATGGTTCTATGACCTGTCAACATAATCTTTGTGATAGATAAGCAAGTTTACAAAAAACAACCAAAAGGCTCAGTTCCACCTGTCAACAGCATGGTCCACCTGGCGCTCTTTTAATAAGTGGCATCTTCAGTCTATGCTCCGAAGACTATGGCCCGTGGGCCTTCTAAAAACACTTTGATTACTGGAAAACGCAAAAAAACAGAAATTTGTTAGATTTAAGAAACCAAATGAGAGAAAAAGTGGGATGCAAGGGCGGCTACTGGACTCAGAAAAGAAATCAATTTTATAAACACTTTGTGAAAACAATTGCTAAACCCAAAAGTAATTTAATATTTTCACCAGAAGAAGAGGAATATAAAAAGGAGAAGATGAAGTTTTAGAGAGAGAGAGAGAGAGAGAAGCAGCAGCAGCAAAGGGTTTCGAGCGAGGAGACATGCTCCCCAAAAGAGGTTCGTACTCATCTCTCCCACTAATTTATTTTATTTACAGTTTTGCCCCTCTCTGCTGCTTCGACGCTGAGCTCTGACCAAAACCACCCTTTTTTATTCCTTTTATGTGATTTTGTGATGAGTTCGGATGTTTCGAGAAGTGGGTTCTTGGAGATGAGATGGTTTACTAGTTTACTTTTGTTGATTTTATGTTATTCTGCTGTTTCTTTTATTTTTTTCTTTTATTTTTGTTATTAGTGGTGCGAGGATTTGGGATAGATTTGTATCTTCCTTTGTTTTATGATGTGGGACATGGGTTTTGCTTATCTTTAAAATTTTTTGGGCATTGTGATGTTAATTTTTTCTGGGTTTTGGTTGATGTTTTTTTGATCCTGTTGTTTTTGCTTAACTTTGTAGTGCGTTTATATGGCTTCCTGGTAACTTGAAGATTTGAAGTTTTTGGTTGCGATTTTGGAATTATTTGTTGGTGAATGACGGAGTTATGCATGTCCTCTTTTGCTTATTTTTAGTTGATCTTTATCGCTATGGTTTGTGATTTGCATTATGAGTTTTTTTGTGTCTATGTTTTTCCTTCTGGTTATTGTCATTTTGTGTTGCATGTTAAACTGTATTGGAGATTGGATAGTTTTTGCATTTCCTTCTAATGCATATTTTTTTTTGTTAGGCTTCGTTCATTGGATCAACTCATTTGCTCGTTTGCTGGGTAATAATTGGGGTTTTAAGCTGCTGTGTTGTCTTATTTACCATCTCTATGGTTTTCTTCTTCCAATTTTGATTCGAGTCATTTGTTCTGTTCATTTATTTGTTTCTTTCTAAAGATTTTACTTTTAAACTTTATTAGTTCCACTAGTTAGTTTCTTGTAATATTGACGCCGTTGTTGTATTTACATATTTGTTGCTTGTTCTATATACATACCTATTGCTGTTTGGCCTGAACTTTTATCTCGGCAGCATTTTGTGATGATTACAGGTAAGCTTTTGAGTTCTGCTTGTTGCCTTTGAGGATCCCTGCCTCCATTTTTCTTTATAGTTCTCTTTTTAAGTTCAGTTATGAGTCTCATGACATTGATTATATATTTGTATTTTTATTATTCGGCTGCAGATTCCATTCATTGTTGTGGTCTTATCTTGATTTCTATATATGGATGTCTTTGAAAGGCATTTACATATAATCTGGGAAAAGCAAGTCAAGTTTATGTAACATTATTATTATTATTATTATTATTATTATTATTTTGCAATCATTTGCTGGTCTTAACATTAGTTCCCTGATTCTTTGTTTGGGTAAGTAGATGTGTCTATTTGTCGTGATTTGTATGTTGAGGAAGTTGATGCGTGATCTTTTAGCACTTCTTTTAGAATATTAGCACTCTTTGTTACTTATAGATGTTTTTTCCCGTTTAGATGGTTTCTTTATCCTTTCATTCCTGTATATGTTGTTTATGGGTTGTATTGTTTTCTAGTTTTTATGTATCTACATTGACGCATTGGATCCTAGGCGCTATACTGAGTTAGTATTTATGCAAGTGTGTAAATTTGATTTGGGGCAACATTCTTGCAGCGGAGAGTTGATGAATTCACTGAAGTACTCGATTTTGCACATAGGCATTCAGAGTTCAACAGCATTTTACTGGTAGTTTCCATTTCAGTTCAATATTTAATGTTGTGGAATTGATTGAATTTATTTTGTCAGCTTTTGGATGTAGATATCATTATTTACTTTTTAATCAGAAGAACTATTGGTCCATAAGCATTTTTCAAATTTCCAAGTTTGCTATCTAATTAGTTCTGGTTTGAATGAACTATTGAATTCTACTGCCTGAATTTAGGAGGATGACACATTGGCTTATTATAAAATTAATTTTGCCACTGCATTATTTAGAGACTATATGTAGAATCTCCCTGACAATTCCCTGCTATTTACATTTGTACATTCGCTATATAGAATTAACTGTTTTTGAGCATCATGTCCTACCTACCTGCACCTTCTCTTATCTGAACAAGACCAAAGCATTTCAATGAAGGCTAAGTTTTTCCCGCTTCAAATTTAAGTCCTTTTGTAAGTATAAGTCATAGAAGGTGTTCAAGTCTTACCTTCAATAACGAAAAGGGGCCTTTCTAAATTAATTTTAAACACATTGTTTTCTGTCTCTTCGTGCGTTAGACATATTTCAGGCTGATTGCCGGGTTATCAAACATTAAATAACTAAGATGGATTCTAGTATTATACATATTCATAAATAAGTATTTATATTGTCACAATGCCGTTGGTTAATGTTATTTAAGAGAACAATATTTTTTGTGACTTATGTTGGAAATGTATTTGCTGATTTTTAGTTTTTCTCAGTTTACAGTTGTGCTGTTCCAGAATACAATTCGGGCATTAAAACATACTTTGTCTCTTGATTAAAATAGCTTTATGCGAATATAATTATTTACTCATCGATTGCCAGCAAACCTCCTCATGAAAACTTGTTACATTCTGGAAAACATAAAAAAATAATTATTTGTGGAAATGCCTCAATTTTGAACTGTGGATTGGAGATTTCCTTCTAAGTACATCATTATTACGCAAAGATAACTTGATTTCATTACTTGCAGGGTTAGACTAAGGGCTAAAATTTTTCATTTCCTATCTGAAGACTTGAAATATCTACGAAGCTGATTGATGCATCTGAAGCATGTGAAAGGTTTGGAAATGCAGAACCCTGATAACAAGGATCCAGTGCAAAGCTCAGTCTATTCAACATCTAATTGTGTAAATGCTCTACCATTGTGGTGGAATTCAAGCATATTGAGTTATCCTCCATCTCATCCAAAAAATTTATACATGATCAAGGATGCTCTTGCACAGCCATCAAGTCAGTTAAGGAGCAATCAAATTGCTGATCAGGACTTTTCATCAAATCATTCAAGTGGTCAATCCCACCAAGAACTGTCGGTTTCCAGTGAAGGCACCATTCAAGGAAAACTTGTTTCAGCACAATCTGGTATATTTATATTTAGCATGACACATGTAGTTTTCACTTATATGAGTATAGGTGCAAATTCTTTCTTGGTATAAATTCTATTTAATTATCTTTTTGTGATCAATAATTCTATATAAGTATTGGACATAAAATTTAGTAAGCTTTGTTAATAGTTTGAAATGGATTTATCTTTTTTCCCTTCTCCTATGATATGTTTATAATGTCTACATTATATACTATTAATGATGTTGCACAGCTGCAACTACTCTTGCTGCCAAAGGACGGCTTGGCCAGTGGATTACATAAAAAACATTTTTATTTTTATGCTGAAAAGTTCTAAATCCACATGTTATATGTCAATTTCATATAATCATTCTCTCACATTTAACTGTAGAATGACCTTACATCTTCCTCACATGAAATTCCTCATAGAATTCCACAAATATGCTTGATTGATCCAAGTTGTGAACCTTAATCTTCATGTGACCGTTATTCTTTTTTGCTTCATTAATGTTGCACAAGTTTGTCTTTGTTGTTGGTGCAAGACACAAAGTATCTGATGTGTTTTCCTTCATTCTCTGACGTAGGCAATGATAATACATATGACAAGCATGTTGAGGCTCAAATGAAGGCTTCTGCATTTTCCTCGGGAACTACAGAAGCTGCTTTCCCATCTCCTAAATTTGATTACAACCCCTCTCCTGTAAATTCTTATTATCCCCTGAAGCTCAAAAAGGGCTTTTATTTCGTAATGTTATTTAGTTTCACATTGTTTTTGAGTTCAGATATCTTTCCAATGTATGTAGCTAATGATTTTTCCGGTGTTTGCTTTATAGGCTTCCATTCCATATGCTTATGGAGATCCATACTATGGAGGAGTTCTTGCAGCTTATGGGCCTCATGCTATTGTAAGTTTTCTTTGAGCACATTATGCTTTTTTATCATAATTATAGACTTCAAGCTTTGGTTCCATATATATGGTCTGCTTATTTGGGCATTTTTCAACATGAGATTAGTGTCCTCTCATTTAGCGTCCACTACAACTACCATGGTTAGACCAATAGGCTATTTTGTTATAAATAATATTTGAAATTGGGTAAGGAACACATCACAAGGACCTGCTTGTAAGGTTCATTTTCTGAGAATCATTTGCATATACAGGTGGTACTTCTCTGTCTGGAACTGGATTTGTGGTACCTTTATAATATGTATCTGAAAAGCAGCTACTTGAAACCTTGTCATATTTTCTGATTTATGCAATTTGCAAGTATATGACCAATGTCCTTAGCTTATATAAGCTATTCTTGGATTCGAAGTGTGTTTTAGCGTGTAAAATTCATTGTAGCTTGTAGGGCATCATATTCATAGCTAATGCCGCTTTGCTGGTGGCCACTTGAAGTGTATTTTGATTGCTTCCATATTTGTTTTTTGAGCATTATATGTTATTTCTAGTTACCATGATTAATTCCATGCAGTTAGGCGGTTAAGCATGGAACATATTTTATGTCAGCACAATATGTTGCTCTTATGAAACTTATATACACAGAGATAAACAAGTGTCCCAATTCCCCCTCCAGGAGAAAAACAAGAAAAAAGAAAAGGGAAAACCCATCAAAAGCACATACAAAAATGCATGTGCATCACGACGTTTGGTCCTGGTTGTTGCTGTGAGAGCTCAAATATGAGACACTGAGACTTTGTTGTCATTATTAATATGTGCAAATATGAACATAGAATCACAGTTCACAGATACATGCATATATACATTCCTCTCTAACCAAATTACTTCTCTGGTCACTTAAGAGGGCGTTTGGGGAGACTTAATTTTTGGTCAAACTAGTTTTTAAGCTAGCTTTTTGATTTCTATCTGTTTGGTAAAATGTCTAATAAGTTAGCTTATAAGTCCCATTTTAAAAAGCTGATAGACCCTAGCTTTTAAAAAACTAACTTATAAGCTCATTTAAAAAAGCTAGGTTTGACCAAACAAATTACTATTTTACTCAAACAATTTTTATAGCATCTTTATCAAAAAAGCCAGAAGCCACTAAAGCTAGCATAACTTAAAAGTTTAAAAAGTTAAGCCCTTCCAAACACCCTCTTAAGTCTTTCTTGTCAATAAATTGCTGAACAGGGATGTTTTCCTTTCGTTTTGGTGATAAAGGTAAATCACTTTCTCTTTGCATATGTCGTTTTCCATTAACCGTAGAATACAACTTTCATGGATTTTCAAGGTAGTAATACAAGTACTTATCCATGGCATCCATAAGTATATCTCTTATGCACTAGGGGGATAACTAATGTATGTTAGTGTGAGTAATGCTCTTTCCATAAATAGTGAAGCTATTTACGAGAAGTAATGCTCTTCCACAAACAATCTTCGTTGGAAGCAATTTGTACATAAATTGTATGTTGAGCATCTTTGTATATTCTGACTCGGTTTGGGATTCTGTCTGCCGTGTCTTAGCTAGAATTTTTTGACCAATATCTGGTTGTTAATTTTTTCATCTCTTAATTCAACAAAGTAGCACATTTTTCTGTTCTACTTAATAATTATTATTATTATTATTTTGATCTTTTTATTTTGCTTATATTTTTTGAGCCATGCTCCTTTGGAAGATACTCTCCTATGAAATTGATGTGTTGTATGCGCGTAAGTCTTCTGTGTCATGATTTTTTTTTTTTTGGATTTACTATGCAGCTATCCTTACCCTATTATTTGACATTTATTCGTTTGACTGCATTGATTCTATTCATTAGCTTCTGGATCCTTCATTTAGTACTTCGTTGCTTAAATTTATTTACATTGATTGTGTGTCTAATTGATTTTCAAACTTAAGGCTAGTCTCAAATCATAATGAAGGTCTGTTAATAGTGCATGATCAAAATTTGAAAAAAGTCATTTGGTATTGAAGCTTAACAGTATCCTAATGGCACTGGTCCTGGTTCGGTATGCCTGATCAAAATTTGGCATGGGCATTAGGTCAAATAGTCGTTTACATAATAGTAAATACATAAAGCATCTGTCAGTTTTCTTACGTGTAACCGAGTTTAAAGCCACTGATATTTTGGCAGGACTTTTTTATTGAACTTAATCATGTAGGATCTGATCTAATACACACTAAATACTAGAGGGGGGTGAATAGTATTCATTTAAAAATTTTGCAAAGTAGATTATAAATTGCAAGGAAAGAATAGCAACAATCACAGAAATTTGAGCAATCACAAACACAGAAGATTTATACTGGTTCCACCACCTCGGGTGTACATCCAGTCCTCAAGCAAATCCCGCTTGAGAGTTCCACTATGATTTTGAAAAACTATTATAAAATCAAAGACAAACCTGACCAATTTGCAAGACCATGCAAATTGTAACAATCTCTAAACCAATAGATCACCTCTCACACCCGAGAGTAACCTTCTTTGATGAAAGAACACAATTCCTATAAGCCTTGAAGTATAGGTGTTGTACAACAGTGGCTTAGGAACTCTTTTAATCTCTGATTAATACCTAAACTCTTTGTATGTATGATGAAGATCAATAGCAATCTCAGAAATTACTTTTATGAACACTTAGACTGAAAATCTAAATTTTGAACTGTTGAATTTGCACAAATGCTTGATCTTATATGTATGAATCTTGGTGGCAAATTCTAAACTTTAATACCTATTTATAGCCTCTGAAAAGACAAAATTTTAAACCTAAATAACGTCCACAAACGGCTATAAACAGTCATAAATTTAAACTTTAAAATCTAAAAAAACTGTATTTGTAGTCGACTACAATGCTTAGTAGTCGACTACACAGAGTCAAAACAGATTCTGTGAAGTCAGATTATTTCTTAGTAGTCGACTACTGTAGTCATTAGTCGACTACACTGTAAAGACAGACGTTCTAGAATTCTGAACTGACTCTTAGTAGTCGACTATAAATCCTAGTAGTTGACTACACTGTAATTTCACAGAAATTGGAATTCTTTCTAACAGAAACTGATATTTTGACTAAGGCTTTAGTAGTCAACTACTATTCTTTAATAGTTGACTATACTGTAATCTAACAGAAACTGATATTTTGACTAAGGCTTTAGTAGTCGACTACTATTCTTATTGGTCGACTACTAAGGGGTACAGAAACTGATATTTTGACTAAGGCTTTAGTAGTCGACTACTATTCTTATTGGTCGACTACTAAGGGGTAAATATGAGATATATGAAGTATTTTGAGACTCATTTTTTATCTATAAACTCTAATGGTTAACATATGGGATTTCTATTGTTAACCACACACTAAGCATGTGTTAGTGTGTTATAAACACTATGTGTGTGTATGTGTTGTGAGTGATCAATGCTTGTACAATAAATCTAAGTAAAAAAATGTAAAAGTTACATTATGATGCTTATGCACTTCTTCTTCTTTACTTCTTGTTGCCTTGAACTCATCCTGCACTTTGTTCACATATCTTGATCATATTTACTTCTTGTTGCCTTGAACTCATCCTGCACTTTGTTCACATATCTTGATCATATTTGATGTTGATATCTGCATTGATATGTTAGTGGCACTTTGTTCACATATCTTGATCATATTTGATGTTGATATCTGCATTGATATGTTAGTGCATAATAATATACATAGTATATAAGTTGTTATCATCAAAACTATATATTGGGGTCAATATATCCAACATTCTCCCACATTTTGATGATGACAAACAATATATGCATATGTAAGTATATCATAAAAGAATTAAACACTTATGAACATTATATACTTACCCCCCTGCATAAAAGCATATAAGAGTCACTGAAATTCATATATTTTAATATTTTCTCCCCCTTTGTCATTAGCAAAAAGAATTAAACATTTATTCTAAACATGCAAGTATTTCTTCTTCATGAGCTAACACTTTAAATAAGTCATCCAAATTGTGAACATAGTCCATTACTTCACCCATCCAAATAGGTAAGCAAAGACTTGTCATAAAGACCAATAGTTCGATAACTTTCATCGTCATAATCTGTTTAGAATATTTAGCTCATGAACACAACATACTAATGCATAAATCATACTAAGCACATAGTAAACATAGTAGCAACATTAACACAAATTGGTACATAGTCTTAATCACATAAAGCAACTTACGACATAATATATAAGTCTTAAGCAACTACCACATAGTTTGTGACATAAATAAACAAACCAACTTATGACATAGTTTTTGACATAAACATGAAACTAATCAAAGTACCAAACCAACTTATGACATAGTTTTTGACATAAACATGAAACTAATCAAAGTACTACATGAGATGCATGCATGCTCCTCTAATTGACATAAACATGAAACTAATCAAAGTACTACATGAGATGCATGCATGCTCCTCTAACATGAAGGGCCTTGAGGGGGTGGATGTTCTTGGAAATAAGCACTAAACTTCATATCCAAGTTATCCAACTTCTCGTTTATCTCTTCTTGATTTGTCAAAATGCATGAGTCTGAGTATATAGTGCTCGTTGTCCAGTCTCTAACTCAAGTATACGAGCAGATAGGATATTATATTGAGCATCTGAGAAGCATGAGGAATCAATTTGCATTGGAGGTGGTATGTGACTTGAGGAGGGGCCTGCTTGATGAGATGATTGTGGAATATCTTATGGGATTTGTTCTTGAGGAGGGTGAGGTTCATCTTGGGGATTTTGGTCATGAAGTTCAAAGTTTGTTAACTTCATCCTAGTTAGGGCATGGGAATCAAAGAATTCAATGTAACGAACCATTGAATTTTCAGTTTCAAGATCAACATGGAATGCTTCAAAAAATTTTGTTAGAAAAGCTCCAAACGGAAGAAATCCTCTAGGTATAACTAAAAGATTCTCATAGAAAACCTCAGTCAAATTCACTTGTATTTTTCC